TCAAACATTTATTTCAGTTTGTACCTCGTTTTTGGTATTCACCTATCATGTCCTTTCTTGAGAATATGTTTTGATATGCTGGTGTGGTAATATTTCTTGATATTTCTCTAATAGTTTCCATTTTATCATATAAAAATCCTGTTTCACTCTAAGGTCATGGAATACATTTTTGTTTTCTAAAAAGGTCTTACTACTTTATAGGTAGGATTTTAGAATCTATATTTTGTAAATGTGTGCTAAAGATCTAACCTTATGTTTTTCATGCAAAAAATCAGTTGTTCCAATCTTGTTTGCTGATAGTTCATTCTTGAGAATGAACTAGAGAAGGAAGGTCCATAACCCTGGGCTATTCAGAAGGATGGGTTTAAGGAGAATTTTGGGGAACAAAAGTTTAGATAATATTAACTATTATGAATTATCAATATGGATTTTTAACGATCATCGATGCTAATGATATTGACGCTATCAATGGTTAATCATAAAATAATTCCTGTTCCTCTTTGCTGACAAGGGACAGAAGTTCTAACTTTCTCATTAAGTCACAGCTTATCAACATTCTGCCGTCCCAGCCTGTGAGTCCGCAGCCTGCTGAGAGCGTTGCTCTGCTTCCCTGGGGGAAATGTGCTGAGCGCTGTGGAGTGCTGCTTGCGCTGTGCATGGCTATGCTCATAAAACCTTGGATACAAGGGTGGCTGGCGGGGCTGAAGGCTTGGAGTAGTTCATATTTTCTTTTCAAAATATTTTTCAACATTTTGTTGACAATGAATAGAAGTGGAAAAATAAAGCTCTGTTGATGTCAAATGATTCCTAAATCCAGATGTGGCGGGGGCGAGAAGCCTTCCGTATTCATGACAAGTTGTAAACACGTCTGGCGTCTCTAGCATGCATCCCAGCACCCTCTGTGAGTGGAGATCTGCCCATAGTCAGTAGAACTTGTCTGCTCCTGGGATACCCAAGGCCCTCCAATATATAATATGCTTGCAAATTCCAAACTGCTATGCAAGCTCTAGCCTGGATTAGAACATTGTCTTAGCCTGGCTGTGTGGCTTTGCATTTTATAGTCATAAATTATGATACAAATGACCAGACAATGAATGTTCAAAATAATGTGAGTGCCTGTGTGACTCCTCTCATTTCTGCTACTGAAGAATACCGCAGTCTTGCTCTGTTCCTGATGGCCCAGCTCCATGGGTCCTTTTGTGTACTTTCCAATCGGCCTCCTTTTCCCTCCTCCTGTCATGAGGAATTTTGGGGGACTTTGATCTGCTCCGTATGAACTCAGGAGTCTTGCCATCTGCAGATGACGCCTCACCATTCAGTCTGGTGTCCTTGCCAGGTAAAGAAGCCAGATCCTACCAACACAGCACAGAACTGGTCAGCCTGTGGCAGAGATTAGTGATCATGTTTCTTCCTTACAGCTCGTCCCAACTCTCCAGCCCCAACCACCACCTGCCCTACCTCGCTGGGGGCCCCAAGTTCTGATCTCACCCTGCATTTTTGTGGATCAGGCTGGGAGTACCAACCAATCTGGGGGCTACCCGAGGGAGGGCCAGGGTGTTCATCCTGTTTTCTGAGGTCCTGTCATTCTGAGACAGGGCTCTCCAGTGCAGGCCACCCAAGAGCTGGGCTCAGGGAACCATATGGTAAAGAATATTGACCTGCTAGAGCACGAAATCCTATGTTGTTACCTCTCTGGGCTCTGGGTGCCTGCTATCGGGGTACACTCCGTACTCAGAAGCAGAGTGAAAGGGGCTGGGTGTGGGGGCTCAGACCCTCTGTGCTGACGTGGAGTCCCACTCCAGGGCCAGGCTGAGTTGGGCAGTGCGCTGGGACCCTGGTGAATATTTAGTGGTGTGTCCATTTTGCATGCTGCTGCCTATGCAAACAGCCACCTGGAGAGGGAAGGCAGAGCAGACAGTGTGCTCACAGCAGGAGGGCATAGGGTGGAGAGAAGCAAGCCAAGCCTCACTGAATCTGACTGAGGGAACCCTCGCTCAGCCACAACCATGGACAGCTGGATGTGCGGTGCCTGTGTCCTCTGCTTGTTGAGCCCATTAGGAGCCGTGAGTAGCCAGTTCGGATCCTCCTCCCTGTCCAACTGGATTCAAGATCTGGGAGCCAAAGGGCATTTGGGGACCCAGCTAGAGACCCCATTGTCCTTCCCCAGCATGCAAGTCACTCCCTACCATGCAGGTGGCCAGACATGTCTTGGAGGAGTCCCTTGTCCTTCCCTGGCAAGTCTGCTCTGACTACTAAGGTGTCCTCCCTGGAGTGGAGCTGAGCTCATCTCCCTGCTGCTTCCCCCAGGACCTGGCTGTGCCCTCTGGGGGCCCATGGAGGTGCTGTAGGCCCTGAGACAATGCCTTGGAATGGGGAGATCAAGCCAGGCCCTTCCCTTCCCACTCGTGTGCTCTTTCTCTAAGCCATGCATCCCAACCATTGCCACACACTCCCTGTTAAAGATCTCAGCCCCTCTACCCACTATGACTCTTCTACCACCCTCAGTTTGGTTGTTTCCATTGAAGAGGGTGTGTCCAAGGCCTGGGTGGGTCTGAGTAGCTAGTGGATACTAGATGTTCCTGCTCTGCATTTATAGGACTCACTTTTCTTGCTGTGATGCCCTGGGCGAAAGAAGCTTCTGGCCTGGAAAACTGCAGCAGGGGTACAAGCCAAAGGGCATTTGGGGACCCAGCTCCCCTGTGTGCTGCAGGCTCCTAGCAGGTTTTTCGGGTCAATGCAGGTGACAGCAGGGACTAGGAGGGGAGTCACAAGGTATGGGGGATGTAGGTGGAGATCTCCTTCTACCCCCACTGCCTTGCCTTCAAGGGAGCATTCCTCCCAGAACCTGGCTGACCTGGGTGCATTGGTTTTAAGCTGGAGTCCTGGAACCATGAAATTGACTGTGTGACCAGGGTTAAGTTCCTTCCCTTTCCTGAGTTTCCCTTGTCTCTCGAACAAAAAAAGGAAATCCTATCTGTTCACCAGGCTGTGCAGTGACTGGGTCTGATTTGTGAGGACTGGGTGCAGGGTGCAGTGCAGGTATCTTCCACTGCCCACCCCCTTCCTCTCCTCTGTGCAGCTTCCAGCGAAAGCTTTATGTTCAGCAGCGGGCCTTCTGTCAGTGGGGCCACTCAGCATTGGGTGCTCTTGCCAGCGCAGGAACTAGAACAAATCATCTCCTATCATGTCCCACTGTGGGCTCCAACCCCACAGACCCCTGAGATGTGCAGTGGTCACAGATGGCAAGGCTAGGCATCCACGGTGATGGGGTCTCCCCTCCAGAAGGGGTGAAGATTGGTATGTGCATGGGGTAACTCAGCAGGAGCACTGGGTGACTTGCTATCTCTCCAGCCCTGCCTATTCATCCCTCTTTATACTGCCCACCTCACAGCTGGCCCTGGAACCACACATCCCAGGGCTCTGGTTGAATCTCCCTGAATTTGCTCCTCCTCTTAGGATGTGCAAAGACTCCTTGTCCATCCTTTAGGTAGAGGCTGCTCACCTGGGGCCCTGGTTCCTTTGGCCTCAGGGATTCCCCAGACAGTCCCTGAGAGCATGTTCCAGGAAGGGGTGGGGTTCCTAGACAGTGGAGTGAAGGACAGAGGCCACAGTTTTGCAAGCTCACAGGGTGACAGTCAGGCTAATTGTGTAAGAAAGTCATTTTCACCCATTTGGGACTCTTCACTTTTTATTTTGCTGTAGTCTTGGGGAGAAGGAGGTAGAGGTGTTAGAAGTCCTGGTTTTGACTCCCAGCTCCCTAGGGAATTTGCTAAAATGCCAAATCCTCGATCCATTATAGGCATCTGTGTATCTCTGGTGCCATTCCTTTTGGTCTCCTGTTGGTTTATGAGGTACATCTTTAGAAATACCACTGGAGAGACAACTTCCTTTCCCATTTCCAGATATCATTCCCTGTCGTTCCTGGGTAGCACAATATTCTGGGAAGCTCTTAAAACTGTAATAGTTCATAATTGCTAAGCCATACACGCAGATAATTATCCTTCCATCCATCTATGCATCAAACTACCCACACACCCTTCTGATATAGCACCCTCATTCATCTACTGTCCATCCATCCATCCGTCCATCCATCTGTCTGTACGTCACATTCTTGCTCCTTCAGCTTAGTCATATATGCACTCATCCATGAATTCCCTCACTTACTGAACTACTCATCTACTCCTGCACCCTTGCCTGCAGGTCCCTGAAAGCCTGGAATGATTTTCAGCGGGCTAGCACCAAGGGATTGGCAGAGCTATGTTCCTTATGGCGTCTGGAGGAGAGAATTCACTTTCTTGTCTTTTCCTTGGCTTGCAGTGTCTTTACATCTCAGTCTCTCTTTCCTTTTATCACTCCACTTCCATCATTAAATCTAATTCTCTGACTCTGACCTCTTGTGATAATATTGAGTCACCACAAGATCCTTCCCTGACATCAGCAGGGTCTTTTTCACTTTCTGAAATGTAAGATCACATAGTCATGGGTTTCAGGGGTTTGCACATGGAATCTCAGGGCCTGCCTGCCAAGGTGGTTTAAACAGAATTGCCTCCAGGGAGAGGAGTGCAGAATGGGAGAGTAACACAGGGTAGGAGGAGAGGCCACTCCAGGGACTGAGCTGAGCGTTGTTGTAAGATCCTCAGAAGAATTTGTTTGATGTGTTTCAGAACTTAATACCATGAGATGAAAAAGGAAAGCATCTGTTCAAACCTCTGCCTGTCCATCCTTTTTTCCTTTCTTCCTTCCTTCCATCCATTGATCCACCCATCCATTGATCCACCCATCCATCCTTTTTTCTTTCTCTCATTTCTCCCTTCTTCCCTCCCTTCCTTCCACATATCTGAAGGACCATGAGACTCACCTGTAAGTGCTGTGAGGCAGCCTGGGCTTAGGATCAGGGCACGGAAATGAATCAGGCTCTGGCTCTGTCTTCAGACTACTTGGGCAGGGAGCCCAGAGGGAGCACTCAGCTGGCTTGGCTCATCCTGCTCACTCTCTTGCAGGTGCAGGGACATGTGCCCCCAGAATGTGGCATCGATGTCCGGCTGCAAGAGGATGAGAGCGCATGTCTGCAGGCGGCAGAGGGGGTGCCCAACACCTCCCTGAGTATGGGACTTGGGGGGGGTATTGGCATCCCTGACTCAGCTCCTCCTCCAGCCTTGCCTCTCAGAGAGCTGGACCAGCCATACCCTTGATACTCCTGCATCTCCCATCTCTCCACCTAGGCTGCCCTAGGATCTGGGATGGACTGCTGTGCTGGCCGATGGTAGGCTCTGGAGAGTGGGTCACTCTCCCTTGCCCGGATTTCTTCTCTTACTTAAGCTCAGAGCCAGGTGAGATGTCCTGGTTGTGCTGGTGGTAGGGAAGCAAGGCAGTTTCACCTGGGGTGGTAGCACAACCTAGAGGGTATTGCTGACTTTGGAAGTGGGCAGACCTGTATTTGAATTCCAGTCACCCCTCTTTTTGAATGACCCTGACCCCTGCCCTCTCCTGAGCAAGAGTAAGACATTGGCTTAACATGGGGAAGACCAGAGAGTAGAGCACAAACATGTTGGACGTGGGGCTGGTGCCAACCAGCCTTCCTGCAGCTGGTCGCAGGAGGCCGGGCTGCAGTGATGGAGGAGGGCAGGGCTTGGCTGGCTGCTCAGATGCCCCAGGATGAGGAGGGTAGAAGGGCACCTGCTGCTGCCTACCTCCCTGGCCTGGGGGTCTGGGTGGAGTGTCTCTCCAGGGACACAGAGGGGCTGCTTTTTTTCTTGCTGCCCTTAGTATGCTGAAGGTTAACTCACTATTTCTCTGCTCTCCGAGGAACGATTTTCTCTTATCAGAGGGCACATGGGAGGTTGGAGAGGTAAGGCCCCAGAGTGTGGCCAGGCTGGCTGGACCTGAGAGTGGGCCCCTGGAGGGAGCTCTCTCTCTTTCTGCCACCAAACACTGCCTGTGCAAATTCTACCATGCTGCAGGCTTCCTTCCACCCTTCCTGGGAGAGGAGAGGAGCCATGGTGACCAGAGACTCTTGCTTTTCCCCAGGCGCTGTGCAGCGGGATTGTACCATCACAGGGTGGTCAGATCCCTTCCCATCTTACCGTGTGGCCTGCCCTATGGAGCAACTGGCTGAGGAGGTAAAAGGTTTTGGACATTTTGGAGAAAGAATTGCCACGGACATATGTATGGGTAATGGGCTGCACAGTTGGGAGAGGGGTGGGTTGCCATTTCCTTTCTAGCCAAGTTGGAGTTATAGCAGTAGCCAAGTATGGTGGCACACACCTGTAATCCCTGCGCTCTGTGAGGCGAAGGCTGGAGAATCATAAATTCAAGCTCAAACCAGGCAATTAATGGTCTCAAAATTTTTTAAAAAAATTAAAAATGGCTGTAGATGTAGCTCAGTGTGAAACTGCTGAGTTCCAGCCCCAGACTGGGGTGGTGAGGGACAGTCATCCAACAGAGGGCGCTAAAGTGTCTGGTGCAATGGGGTCCTTTGCTCATTGCTTGAGTGTTGACACATGGGCAATCTGCTTGGAGGGAGGGGGAAGGCAGAGGGCAGGTGGGTGATGGGCTGGCTCCCACCTCCTTGGCGAGCCTCTTCTGTGCTTAGGCCTCTAGTGCAGGGAGCCAAGGGATTTTAGAGAAAACCAAGGCTCCAGGCAGTGCTGGGCAGCATTCCCTTCCCTGGCCCTCAGTCTACATGGCGGTCACCATGGCTATAGTGCAGGCAAGGGGGTGACTCGGGGCTGGACTCCAGCCAGCACCTCCCCTGCTGCATGGAAGCAGGTCCTGCTCTAGCAGGGGCTTTGGCAGGTGTGTGCACCCTCACGACCCTGCTTCTTCCTCCCCTTCTTTCTAAAAGGACCAACATGAGTGTGGCCATTTTTCTTGATGATAAAACTGAAGCCGAGAGGGGCAAGAAGTACACAGGAGAGTGAGGGCAGGGGACCAGCGCCTGTGCCCTTCTCTCTGGTGGCCAGGCGAGACCGATTGGCTCCAAACACTTGGGCACAGAAAGAGCTTTTCCTTGCCTGCCTGCGGCTGTCCCCGGTGTCCTGGCCGTTCTGTTTATGTGGGGACATTGTGTTCCCAAGCTGGTGAGCAAGCTGGATGTCAATAAGCACGACTGGTTTCCTCTTGGGCGCTGTCACTCCCCAGGGATGAGCCACGGCGAGTCTCAGTGTCCCCACCCAGCAGGCCCAGCAGGACAAGCAGAGACGGGGCAGGAGTGAAAGCCTCCCTCACACAGGGTGCTTCTTCCAGTGCTGCCCGCAGACACCTCTGCCCTGGGGAGAAGGTGGATGCAGCTGCAAAGTCTGCTCCTGCTTGATTGATAAGCCTCCCTTCCCTGAATGCTGAGAGTATCTTCTGTCTACTCTCCCCAGAAACCTTACTTCTCCACCATGAAGATCATCTACACCACGGGCTATAGCATCTCTGTTGCAGCCCTGTCTGTGGCCATTGCCATCCTGGTTGCTCTCAGGTTCGCTGTCCTCATCACCCGTTCAACAGCATTCATCGGTTCTCTATCATCCAGAGGACCAAGCGTGACTTTGCTGGGATAGTTAAGTGGTTCCCGGGTCTAGACACCACGCCCACGTCTGCCCTTTCCCCCAATACATAGATCATCTCCTCCTTTGTACACCAAAAACTCAGTCCTACAGCCATGCCTTTGCTTACCTAGAGCTCACCCTGCTTGCTTGGAAGGCCTTTTCCCCCCTTACGTTTACTTCCTCCAAATGGAAGCCCAACCCTTCCTGATTACTTTAATCCTCAGACTACTGTCTGGTTTCATGGTTCTACAGCCTTCAAAGTCTGAGCCCACATGCAGCATATGCAGGCCTCTGCTGGGGGGGTGGTCTTTCTGTTAATCCAGGGGACCCTGTTTCAACCTCGGATCCCTAGAAGGGGAGCTCCTGCAGGCAAGGACAAGTACTTTCCTCTGCTCCTGCCTCTTTGCCAGAGCCCAGGGCAATGGCTGCTCAGCTGACCAGCAAGGCGAAAATGTCAAGTCCAGCTCAATCTAGATCAATTTAGTTGGGCTTGATTCCATTTGATTTGGCCTGATTTGATTCATTTTCATTCCACTTATCTCTTGCTCAGCTCAGCTCAGCCACGCCAGGCTCCTCTTGAGGGCACACGGAAGCTCCTTTCCCTGCTGGTCAGCTGTTTCCCATCTCTCCCCACCCCTCCAGGAGGCTCCACTGCCCTCGGAACTATATCCACACCCAGCTGTTCACCACCTTCATCCTCAAGGCAGGAGCCGTGTTCCTGAAGGACTCTACCCTGTTCCAGGATGACATAGAGCACTGTGTCTTCTCCACTGTAAAGGCCATGGGGGGGGGGCAGCGGGAGGAGAGGAGGCCAGATGACAGGCATAGGTGTGTCTGTGCCACCATGTGGGTGGCCTGGGATGCCTCATGTGCACAGATTTCGGGACTTCTTGGTAGAGGACGCTGAGGGCTTGAGGAGACCTGAAGGGCTTCAGAGAGGAAGTGGCTATAGAGCTAGGGTGGCAGCAGCGGTGAGATAGTGAGGAGAAAGGATTTGAGACTAGAGTGAAGACACTCATAGACAGAGGGTTGGCGTGTGGTCACCAAATAGGAAGTCGTGCAGGCAGGGGTGAAGCGGGGAGAGCAGGAAGGGGGAAGAGTGTGGAAGCTGAGCACCTACTCAGCTGTCTGCAAGTGAGCCCAAAGTTGGCTTGAAATGAGCACACCAGTGTATGAACAAAGCCACAGATGACCTGAATTAATCAATGGAACCACTAATAATTGAGTATATTGAGCACATACATGTGCCAGGCAGCCCACTAAGTGCTTTACACATATGATCTCCTTTCATCTTCAAGGCTGAAAGCATGCCTGTAGCTCTGTTTTGTAAATAAGAGGCAGCAGGCAAGGTGAAGGGCTAGAACCAACACCAGGCCTTCAGGTCTTGAGACCACACTGCTGCTCATGACTGTTGGTGAGCCGATGTGTGCAAGCGCAGTGCTTCCTGTCCTGGGTGTCTGCAGCTCTGAGCTGTTCGAGGATATACGGTCCATCATTATAGCTCCCAAAGGCTGGTGCAAGGGAAGATGAGCAGCATCGGTGCTTATGCAGAGTTTCCACAGTAATGGAGCCATGAGATAGACACAGGTGGAAAGCTAAACGTGAGGAGGTTTGCATGGTTAATAGGTTATAAACTTGAACCGAGGCTGTCTAGATCCCAAATCTGTGTGCTTAGCCACTGCATTATACTACCCAGGGTGGGCCCTGAAGTTGGATGGAAGTGGAGGGGGATAGAGGTTCAGGGTCTCAGAGGTGTAGGGAAGGCCTCCTTGGGGGCTGTAAGGAAGCATCCAGGTCTCTGGTCCCCAGGTCCAGTGCAAGGTCTCTGTAGCTGCCTGCCATTTTGCCACCATGACCAACTTCAGCTGGCTGCTGGCAGAAGCTGTCTACCTGAGCTGCCTCCTGGCCTCCACATCTCCCAGCTCCAGGACAGCCTTCTGGTGGCTGGTTCTTGCTGGCTGGGGTGAGCTCTGAAGAGCGTCATTTCCCTGGTGGTGACCTTGACACAGGTGGGGGAGGGTACAATCCTACTGCCACAGAAAGTGGTCCATATGCCTTTGCTGGTCCTGCCTTTGCAGTCCCTGTGTGGGTTGATCTCAGAGCCATGGACACAAACCCTTCACTCAAATTTTTTCTCTGCCCAGGACTCCCCACGCTCTTCACAGGCACCTGGGTGGGCTGCAAGCTGGCCTTCGAGGACAACGCGTGAGTCCAGCTGCTGCCTTCCCACCACCATTCCTGGTGGGCAGGGGCTAGATCAGATAGTCAGGCACTATGGCCTTTCTCCAGGCTAGAAATAGAGGAGGAGGTTCCAGCTTCCGTGAGGCAGAGGAAGGGGCTGCCTTCAGATAACCCAGCAGAGGCAGGTACAGGGCAGAAGGGGCCAGATTGTCAGGGCTGCCCAGATGAGGAGGGCATGGGAAGCTGCCCGTGGAATACAAGATGTGAGAGGCCAGCAAGGAAACATCAGACAGGTTTTACAGAGCTTCAGCCTATGGAGGTTGAGCCCAACCTGGACTGGGGCTCCCCATTGGAGGGGAGTCCTATGTGGGTGAGACAGAAGATAGGGCCAGTGAGTTGGGATGAGATGTAAGGCATGAAAGTCCTGGAGGAGAGGAGCCCCAGGAACAGAGAGAGGACAGGAGGGAAGGGTGCGGTTACTACAGAAAAGGGGGCTGGCCTCAGCCTTGGCCTGTCCTCTCTCCAGGTGCTGGGACCTAGATGACAGCTCCCCCTACTGGTGGATCATCAAAGGGCCCATCGTCCTCTCTGTTGCGGTGAGTCCCTGAGGCTAGTGTTCTTTGCTTCATTCAGCCAGCCTCCCTCGGTCTGTAGAAGGACCACCCACATACAGCAGGAAACAGGACTCCAGGCTGGGAGTCAGGAAACCTGGGCTCTCCTGGTCTGCTGATTCTCGAGGCAACCCTCTACCAGCCTGGGAACCCTGTTGGCCAACCTGATGGGCTCCCCCAGTGCTTGGGCCTTCCTGCACGGTTTCCCATGTGATGGTTGTGTTGGTTACATATAACCCACTGTTGGGTGAAAGCTGGGGTAGGAGGTTGAGGAATCCTGTACCCACCTGGTTCCCACTCAGAACGGGAGGCTACTAGGAGGGCCTTGTGTGGTTCTGTGAATATGGGAATTTTGGTCAGCATAGCAATGTTCAAAGTGATAGATACTGGTTTGTGCTAGAGAAGACTCTGGGAGGCATCTGGAGGCAGGTGGCGAGGCCTGACCCTTCCACCCTTGTTCCCAGGGTGAAGAAGGAGGGTTCCCTGAGTCCTCCTCTGCCCTCCAAGGTCCCCATGTGAGACCTCCAAGTCTCAGGCCACATTGTTCTAGAGCAGCGATGGCAAACCTTTTAGAGCTTTCACTGATACGAACAGCTCACTGTGGCACACACATGGCCCAAGTTCGCCACCACTGTTCTAGGGCAGCAGTCAGTGCATCCATCCATCCGCGCATCCCCACGTCTCAAGGATTTGGAGTTTCTAATTCCCCCAAAGTGGCTGGGGCTCCACCATAGGCCACTTCGGACAACCCCTGACTCTTGCTCTCCATCTTCCTATACCTTGCTTCTAGGTAAACTTTGGTCTTTTTCTCAATATCATCCGCATCCTGCTGAGGAAACTGGAGCCAACACAGGGCAGCCTGCACACCCACTCTCAGTACTGGTACTGTGTGTGTGTGTGTGTGTGTGTGTGTGTGTGTGTGTTAAGGGATGTGGAGATATGGAGGCAAGGATTCTATGTGCATTGTTTTACCAGGCAGGCATTCGGGCCCCAACCCCATCCTTTTCCTTATGTCCCCAGAGAGACTAGATGTAGTTCCTGCCCTCCAGAAGCTGACAGTGTGGGAAAGGTGGGGACACCAAACCATCCGTGACGGAGCCAAACAGGCTGATAAGAGCTGAACCAATTTCAACAGGCATCTGGAGAGGGAGATTCTTTGTAGATCATGGGCAGAGGGCATCAGAGATTGCTTCCAGGAGAAAATGGTCTTTGACTAGACTTTTAAAAGTGCATAGAATTTAGAATAAACTGAAACAGAATTCAGTGTCCCAAAGTGAGGAAGGCCAGGGGAGTAGGGGAGGACAGAGTGTTCTGGGATGGCTGCTGCTCAGGGTAGATGTGTAGAGGTGGGCAGTGAAAACTGATCGTGTGCGTGGGAGTTTCTAATCCCAGCTTGTACCCCAGGGGGTGTTTCTTCCCTTCAGGCGTCTCTCTAAGTCAACACTTCTCCTTATCCCACTGTTTGGAGTCCACTACATTGTCTTTAATTTTCTGCCTGATGATGCTGGCTTGAGCATTCGCATCCCTCTGGAGCTGGGGTTTGGGTCCTTCCAGGTGAGGCCTGCACAGGTGCTCTTTCCCCACAGGTACTTGGGTGCGAAGTCTTTGCTAACTTCACAGTAGAATGAGGACTATTACTATTCATCCATTTCTTCAACTGTTTGTCCATCTTCCATCCATACTGCTATCTCTCTATTCATTCAACTACTCTACTCACCCATCCAATTATTCATCCACCCATTCTTCTGTTCATCATTCATCCACCCATCCATCCACCCATCCATCCATCCACCCACCCATCCATCCATCCATCCATCCATCCATCTATCCATTCTTTACAGAGCACCTGTTACGTACTAAGTAATGCACTCATTGTTAGAAGATGCAGAAACAAAGAAAGAGAGACAAGGTTAACAGTAAGGCATGGCTGGCTTGCTATGATGCCTACATGGGACAATGTATCTGGCACATAATGATTGATGTGTCTGAATTTTCTTTTCACAAAGACCTGGCCCAAGCCACAGACTGGGGGTGGATGGGAAGGCAGTAAAAAGACTGTGCACAGCTTGGAGACAGACCAAACTATTCTGATAGAGTTTTTCCTCTGTACTACCACAGGGCTTCATTGTTGCCATCCTCTACTGCTTCCTGAACCAAGAGGTATGTGACTCTCTGGTTTCCCTAATTCCTGGAGGCCCCTGCTACAGTCCTAAGGCCCTCTCTCTCATCTCAGGCCAACCCCTGTCACCCTCTACTCTTATGATCTTTAGCGGGTGTCATTCCTGAGCTCCTGCACCGAGCAGAACCTGAATGCTTTCTGTAGACATCTTTACCTCCTCTGATTCGAGCCATGTTCTACTGTCTATTTGTCAAGAGGTGGGAGGAGGTGTTTCAGGGTTTAAGGGAGAGTTGGGGAGGGAGTATGCCTGCTAGGGGAGGGGCAGTGAGAGGAACAGGGATGGAGGAACCAAGACAAGCAGAGATAGACATACAGGGAGCTAGGAAATAGAGTCAGATTCAGAGATAGTGAGGAAGACCCAGAGCAGAACGTGAGAGACTGAAAGATCCTAGAAGAAAGACATGAAAAGACTAGGCCAAGCCAAACTGGAGGTAGAGTGGACAGAGTAGAAGCCACTATTGTACGTGTGGAATTGTGGAAGTTGCAGGTGGACGGGAAGGGAAGGCCACTCAGAGAACCCTGTGGATTTTCCCAGTGTGGCATCTTGCTCTGGGTAGAGAGGTGGGAAAATCCAGCTCAGAGCCCAGACTCCCAGGCCCTCACAGTGCATACAGGCAGGGTCAGGGCTCCCCCTGGTGGCCACAGATCTGTCGGGGGCTCTGCCTTCTGTGGAGACCCGGTTGCACTTGCCCTAACCCCTGGTTGGGGAGCATTGCTCCCTGCCTCACCTGCCACCTCTGTCCCTGACTGCTCCTTCCTTCTGCCTCTTTGCAGGTGCAGACCAACCTCTCAGAGTCCTGTGCAACTTCTCTGGCTCTGGGATGCAGACACAGAGCTTCAGTGTCTGGGCATAGCAGGTCATGAGCCTGGCAAGTGCCAAGAGCAGGCTAGGATGAGGTTAATGGGTCTAGGAAAGGAGTTTCTAGAGAGAAGTAAAGAGTGATCTGTCTCAGGGAGCAGGGTTGGAGACCAGATGGTTGCATATCTCTGCTGACAGGGAGCTTACTATTTCCACGAGTGCTTTCTTTTGCTGGTTGGCTGTAGGAAGATCATCTTTATGTGAACAGACTTAGTCTCCCTTCTATCTTTTATTACAGCCCCAGCTCAACTCTGTCAGGTGGGTGCAGTGCCCCGGGTCCCTCTGTCCCCAACAGCCCTGTGGAGATGGGAAGATATAGTCTCCCCTCCTGCTTTCCTAGGCAGTTTTGCTTTCTGTTCTCTTGACTGTAGTTCCTCAGATGGAAGACTGGGTCCTCCCTCTTTTCATTTGTGTCCTCTGGACAGATTCCCTGGGAATCTGTCATACTTCAGCTCACAGACTTGAACCTCAGAGCAGGGACTCATCAGAGTCATTCAGGGGGACAGAGTAGGTGTTTGGCCAAGAGCTCAAGAAAGTACCTATAAGTGATATTAACTGGGCTCAGACAAGGGAGCACTAAAAGGTAGGAAAATGAACTAAACGGCCAAAAATTCTCAGAGGAAGGAGGAAGTAGCGTCCTTTGGAGGTGGTACTTAGCAGCTGGTGCCTGTGACAACTATGGCATTTCTTGTCTTGCTGTTTTCCCACCAAGCCCCTCCCTGCCTAAAAGTCTCAAGGGGTTAAGTAGTGAACGAGAGTGAGACTTTCCTAACATTCTCTTCCCTGTCTCTGGAGGTGAGGACTGAGATCTCACGCAAGTGGCATGGCCATGACCCTGAACTTCTGCCAGCCCGGCGGACCTGTACTAAGTGGACCATGCCTTCTAATGTGGGGCCCAAGGTGCTAACCTCTATGTGCTAGGCTGGCTACACCACACAACCGGAGCCCACACCTGGGCTTGGGCAGCTGCTTGGTGCCTACCACTGTCTGGAGAAGAGACCCTGGGAGCCCTCATGCCCACCATGCTGCTGCCCAGGCCAGGGGGCAGCGCTGCCACCCTGGCTTTGCAACTGACCTTTCTCTGGGCCTTCTGTATGCCATGCTCTGACTCCCTTGGTTACTGTGTCTATTCTTTTTTTTTTTTTTTGGTTTTTCTCCGGTACCGGGAACCGAACTCACGACCTTGCGCTTGCCAGGCAGGCGCTTTGCCGCTGAGCTAAATCCCCAGCCCCTATTGTGTCTATTCTTGAGGTCCTCTTCCTTGGGTCTAGGACTACAGCCCCAAACCTGGAGGAGCTAATAAACTTATATATGAATGACACATGTTTGAGTGTGTAAATGCGCTTCCAAAGGGGTTGTATCTGCATTTTTTATTTGGGTTTCCACTTGATAGAGTTGCATCTATCCCTCCTTGGTGCATGCTGGATTACCATCACTATTCTCTTCGGGGACCTCCTATGTATTTATTTTTAAAGTGCATTCTCTTTGGTTACCATTCCCCTTCTTTCACAGGCTCACAAGCCAATGGGTTTCATGTGAATCCTTGTGTTTCTATGTTGCAAAAATGGAGTGTTTCATATGCCTGTTTTGAATTTACATAAATGCCATCGGTTATATGCCTCATCGTGCTCCTAACATCTCCCCCTTAGCATTAGCATTGTGCTTTGAAGACCCCCTCCTTCCTTGTTGCCTTGTGTACATCTGGTCCACTGTTTTGACTGCATATGTGCCACGTGGTGCCATTTCCTCTGGGTTACCTGTCCCCTTCCCTCTAGGTGGACATCCATCTGTGTGTCCCTTATGGGCTGCTGGAGCAAACCTTCCTCCAGGACTTACCGTGAAGCATCAGTCACACCTCTCATGACATGATAAGTATGAGTACTGCCAGATTGCAGCTGCAAACCAGCACTCCCATCGGCAGCTCTTGGATTCCCCAGGGCCCCCAGCCCCCAGCGCTTGTTACTTTCCAGCTTGGTAATGTTTGCAAGCCAGTAGCATATGTACAGTGGCAACACATCGCTGTTCTCATTTGTACTTCCCTGATGCTAGACAAGTATAAACATCTCTTCTTGTGCCTGCTTAGCATTTTGGGTATGTTCTTCTAGGAATTATTTGAGTCTCTTTCCCTGGCTTCCTCTGGGGTAGAGATTCCTCAACTCTAGGTCTTTCTCTTGCATCTTTTCCATTATGTGCTTTCTGTGGCCCAGCCCATTGGCTGCTGCCCCCCACCTGATGTAACACAGCTGCACCATCTGTCCCTCTGCCACTCTCCTCTTTGACAAGAGGGAAGAGAAAGAGAGCCAGGTGCTGTCTTTGGCGACCTGTTTGTTGACTGGTGGGATAGAGGGTTTTCAGTACAGAGAGCAAGCTCATGGACACTATGCAGGTCAGAACGAAATCTTTCCTTTGCTTGGTCTACCCACGGCAGATGTGTCCTACAGAACTCAGCTCCGTTCTTCCTGCCTCCAGGAAGCCTTCCCTCACTACACCAACCTTTCCTGATACTCTTCCTTTCCCCTGCTATCCTGAGAACCTACTCCCCCCTGTCCTGCCTCTGCCCATTTGGGCTGATAGCCAGGTGCCATTTGCTTTGTCCTGGACTGTGTTTGAGCTCTACTGTCCCTGTAATCTTTTCTGCACAAAGGATCTGTGTGTCTTCTGTGAGCTACCTGGACCAAATTTCCTTTCTTAGGCACTGGGCACAGAAGGCCCCAGATGCTGGTGCACGGGGGTGTGTGTGGTACAGGCTGATGGACATCTCCCTCACACTCATGGGGGCTGATACAGTTATGTGAAACCAAAGGTCACGTTGTTACTCGTGATGCCCAGCTGCCTGACTCCTGCCTGGTCAGACAAATGCCAAAGTCAGAATGTGGGCTTAAAAACCCATCATGCAATCCTTTCTTTAGTCTTGGTCATAAGAGTAATTCACACTCCTCACAGGCCTTTGGGAGATACAGGGAGAATTTTAAAAGAAAGTAAAAATCAACATTAACCCTACTACCCTGCAACCATTCATCCCTGATGTTTCTGTTTGTTTCCTGAAAGGGATTTTCTCTCCATTTCTGAAACAGCTTGTAGTTATAATATATTTGTAAATTTGCATCTTGTTTTTAATGCTTAAAAATAATTCATGACAGCTGGCTTGGTGGTGCATGCCTATAATCCCAGCACTCGGGAGGCTGAGGCAGGAGGATCGATCTTGTGAGTTCAAGACCAGCCTGTAATCCCAGCACCAGGAGGCAGAGGCAGGAGGATTGTTGTGAGTTCAAGACCAGCCTGGGCTACAAAGTAAGCTCAAGGCCAGCCTGAACTGCAGAGCAAGACCCTGTCTCAAAAAGACAAAATAAAAAAAAAAAAAATTCATGACATACAAATGGCCAAAAAGCATCTAGAAAGATGTTCAACATCATTCATCCTTATGAAAATACAAATCAAAACCACAGTGAAATACATTGCTTCACAAAGCTGGTGAACATGGAACAAATGGAAAAATAGCAGGTGTTCCTGAGAATGCAGAGAAATTGGAACCCTCATGCATTGTTGGTGGAAATCTACAATGGTCAGAAACCTTGGTAAAAGGTTTGGCAGGTCCTCAAGAAGCCAAACATTGATTTATCCAACAAATGCACTTCCTGGGATACAAACAAGAGAGTGGGAAACATAGTTACACAAAAGTGTGTATACAAATGTTCATGGCACCATTATTCATAATAGCCAAGTGGTGGAAACCAGCCAAATACCCATCAGCTGAGGACTGGATAAAGCAAATAGATAAAGCAAATGTGGTATATCCATATGATAGAATGGCAATTCCATAATAAAAATGAATGGAGTACTAAAACCTACTGGAACAGGTACAAAATAGAAGGAAGCTACCATACTAAGTGAAAGAAACAATCACAAAAGGCCACATTGCATATGATTCCATTTCATTAATATTATATATCTGGGGTGGACAAATTGCTACTGCGTATGGGATATCTTTCTGAAGTTATAGATAGTAGTGATGGCTGCAAATGGTGAATATTCAAAAACCAACACAATTGTACATTGAGGGAGAGGGAATTTTATGGTATGTGAGATACCTCAATAAAGCTGACATTTAAAAAATAAATGGACACTGTGCGGGATACTTGCAAAACTTTTTCTGCTATAGAATGTATAAAGTCTATATAATATTGTTTCCTTAGCTAGCAATTATTTAATAAACCCTCTCTTGTTGAAAATTGATCCCTATTTTAAAGTAAACTTCCTTGCATATAATTCTTCATGTACACTTAAAAAAAAAAAGCCCAAAAAGCTGAAAAATAAATCATCAGAATTTTCAAATAAATTCTCCTACACCTGGACTTTTTGAGCCGATGCAATGCACATGATGCACCCAGGCAATTGGCTCCTAGAAAAGTTGCTTTAGTAGATTCTTGAGCAAACCATCAACATGATTACCTGTAGCATCGTTATTACATTAAAAGCATCTTTTTCCTTCTGAGTTTTAACTGTTGGTAGAACTGTCAACAAACAGTGGTGTTAGTTAATGGTTAGTGTTAGTTAATGTGGGGGATTAATTAATGATTATTACTAATTAGCAATTAGTGTTAGCATTTAGAGGTGTTAATGGTAGTGAAAAGTTAGTGGTTAGCAATTAGTGGCTAGCGTTAGCTCACAGTCGTGCGCGGCTCGTCAGTTAATGTTAGTTAGTGGTTAGTTCGTGTTGGCAGTTAGAGTATGGTGCCAGTAGTGGCAGAAGTACTTGCTTTGTGAAATATTCACTCCTTCCTTAGTGGGTCCACCCATGGCTGCAAGTCTCCCACTTGCTTCTTCCAGTTTCACGCAAGAGCTTCAAATTCCCATCACTTCTCCAATCTCTTCCAAGACGAGAATATCTGGACTGGGGCTCTGTCCAAAGATTCATGTTTCTGGTAGGCCCCCTGTCTAGCAAACTTTCTCTCTAAGGGCTTCAGCGTCCCCAGTTGTAGCAGGAGGGATTGGTCAGAACCGGCTCTGGATGGCCTGCAATGGGGCAGGTTGAGAAGAACAAAGCTCATGTCAGCCACCAGGTGGCAGGTGAACTGCGGCCAGCTCCCTGGCCAGGCTGACCTGCACCCTGAGTGAGGCCCTGACGCTGAAGTTGGGCAGAGGAGGCCCAGGGCCCAGGATGAGGAACTGAGGACAGGATGTGGTGGTGGCAGAAGCAGTCAGGAAGGGCTTTCTGGATGAGGACTTGAGGGCTGGAGTGTAGGCCTTGGAGCACACTGGACCAAGCTGCCCAAGAGCCTCCCCTCACTAGCTGTGCAGGAAGCAAGAAGGTGGCTGCCATCAGCTTGGAGGTGATACTCAGAGGGAGGGTGTGGCAGGGTGGTGGGCATCAGACTGAGCCTTCGTCCTCCTGCTTACTCTCATGGCTTCACTCCTGGTGGGGCTCTGGGTCTGCCGGGCCACCCATTCCTTCACTGGGTAAGTGGAGGAATTTGCTAAATTTTGCTTAGATGATAGGTGTTTTGCTAGAGTCCAGGGACACAGCTGCAGACTTCTCTGGAATGTAGCCCTCCTCTAGGGGCGTAGGGTATGACTAGGGTGCGAAGGTGAATTTTATGTGTCCATCTGACTGGGCCACGGGTATTGATCATTAGTTCTGGATGTGTCTGTGTAGGTGTTTCCGGAAGAGATTAGCATTTGAAGGGTAGAGGAGTAAAGCAGAGAACGTTCCCTAATCAAGGGTGGGTAGAGGAAGCCACAATCCATCTTTCTGGAACAGAGGGGTGGAAGAAAGATGGATTCTGGCTTCCTCTACCCACCCTTGAGCTGTAGCATTCTAAGGCCCGGTTCTCAACCTTTGAATATACTACCCAGGCCTTTGCCTACCCCAGCTCACAGGTGGCAGCTGGCTTCCCAGCCTCCTACGTGAGCCAATACCATATGATAAACCTCTTCTTAGGGCTTGGGATGTAGCTCAATGGTAGAATACCTTCTTAACATGCATGAGGTCCTGAGTCCCAAACAAAAACAAAATAAAAGAAATAAGCATAAAAATTATGACATATTTATGTATATAATTTATATAATTCTTTCTTCTGGAGAATGCTGATTAGTCCAAAGAGCACCAGGCAAGGCTCTCT